CCCCCCATCAATCAAAAGGAAATCAATGCTGCCGTAGCAGCGACGCTTAACAGTAAGGGTGATGGATAAACATGTCAGACGGACGCCAGATGTCATCAACAGATGTGCTGAGCGACTAGGCAGCTTGCTTTTACTCCTACTGCACAATTTACATCGTCGGCGCCCCGATTTAAAGAGCCGATCGCTTCAAACCAGCTTACGAGTCACTTTTAATTTGTTATGTTTACACATACTTTATGAAGAATCTTGCACCGAGTGCTGGATGGGTTTTTATTTTTTAAGCTGGAGGAAAAAGACCTACGAGTTAGTACGAGCGATGCCTTATGTCCCAAAGGTAGACGCAGCAGTAACTCGCGCCACTTTCTTTTGACTCGTGCCATCCTCGTGGCGTCAGTGATGTTCGGTCAAGTTTAGGGACCTTCATGTTACCTGTCCAGCTCTTTGGCATCTTGTGCCTTGAGTAAAATTTTTAGAATAGTACACATTCTAACAAGCTTTCGTTCTTTCTTGGAAAATGACGATATCTCGCATGTTATCGTTTCCCTCAGATAGCACACAAAGTTGAGTGACAGTTATTGTCTCCAGGTTTTTGCAGATTAAATTGCAATAGAATGAAAGTACTGCATGTCTTAAATGACTTGAAAGCTTTGCTCAACAGCTCCCGAAATCAAGGCAGTACATGCACATGTAAAATCACGCCTCATCACTATAACATTACACTAGCTAACATGTTGTTCTGTGAAACATTACGGTATAACTGTTCCAGTAGTCAGAGGTAAGCATAGGCGAGCGCAGCAGCCGTTTTCTTCAATGCGTAGCACCAAAAGATAGGTTCTTTAAAGCCTTTTTTAACACAACAATAAACGTCTGTTGCAAAGTAATTTACTCCCATGCCATAGTAGAGCATACTTCTTGTGCGAAGTATCATTTCTACAGAGGAAGACGCCTTAGGCTCTGAGCAAAACTGGAAGACCTACGTGCGAAGCTATTTTATAAGCTGCAGCTAATGATAGGTATGGACATGGTCGGATCGCTTTTTATGTGCGACACCTGACATTTCTACTGCGATGTGCATATGGTAATGGAATAAATGTTAGGCGATCGGGCAAAAAATAACCAATAAAGCACCTAACGTTGGAAGCCAGACGGCACGACCCTTTGCTCAGCAGACTGAATGCTGACCTGCTTCTACGAGGATCTCTTCCTTCATCGATACAGCAGCGTTTTAATACAGAAATTCAAAACGTTTAGATTTCTGAACGTGAGTTCGTGCTGTAAGTATCGTTTGCAGCAAGGTTGAAGTCCGTGCGTCGCGAACCATCAATTTCATGCTTCCACACAGCTAAAGATGGAGCTGAGCAGGCAAGCCAGTAAATGACAGTGTCAAGGTTGTTTTTATGGGTTTATTATATAGCATGAATAAATACAGATTTGCATGGCAAAATAAAAATTTATTACGTTCCGTGACAAAGGCAAATCATGTATGCAATTCTTCTTAAAGTCATGAAATGGCCCAAAGGGATAAAAATAGCACAAAAGGAAGCATCAGAAGGGGCGCAAAGAGAGAACCAAGATTGCCACCCTTTGTTTTGTTTGTTATCGTTATCACCTTGATCCGTTTGCATAAACACGACGTCTCGTTTTATACTGTTTACTATATTAGTGGCTCTTCAAAACTTTCGTTGTAAAGTAAATAGTGCAAAGCAAAGTTTGCTACCATTTGAATGTCGATCTTCCTCGCACTTTCATGAGAGACATTTCTGAACATTTCCCTTCATTCGTTGGGTGTTGATCTCTGTTTCTCTGCCATCGGCCATGAATGGCTTATTTTAACACATTAGTAGTCGCTTGACAAAAAGTTACATAACCACTCGCGTTGGGTCATACTGACCCATTACTTTATCCTTAAGTATATTAATCTTTTTTTCTCAAGAAGCATTAAAAAATACGTATTTATGAAAAGAACAAGAACAGCGGGCTTGATTAAAGCATTTCGACATTTTAAGGCATGTTAGAAACAAATTAAAATATAAAGACACATTTAACATGTTTTCCACACACTGTAAATATTCTTAGTGAATTTTAAAAATAAATCTTTTTTCTAATATATCACCATAATATGGATGAGCAATAGACTGATTTATGACAAAGATTATGAAATATTGATTTATGAAAAACAATTTATTCAGACACCCACACTCGCGTCGGGTCAAAAGCTGATATTTTTACAGACTACATACACTTCTGACGACTTTACAGTGCTGAAACGAAAAGACAAACAGATTCGGAGATTACATATTGAGCAGTTATTTCTCCACTAATTCTTTATATGTTAAGTTTAAAGAATAAAAATATCATTTGGGTCATACAAACTCGACGGGACTACTTAAGCGTTAAAGACGGAGTAGTCACAAGCGCAATGTGTAGTCTCCCGTTTCCTTCCCATGGTGTGGATGGCACTCAATTTTCAACACTGAAATGAAGAAGGGCGAGTAGTCATTCTGACCAGGGCTCGAACCCGGAAACTCTCAGTTCTGACTACCGACTAATTGGAGACAAACTCCCAATCTGTTCTTTGTTATAAGGCACAGCTTGTCGCATCGTAAAGGCAGTAATTCCTGTCTGAACGCAGGTCTTTTTCAGGCTTGTTAATACATGGTTCATTTTTCATTTCTTGTCGACGTCTACTTGTTTCGATTTCCATATAAGAAACTCATGGGGTGCAGTGACCTCAATTAATCTGGGACGACCAACTATTTTTCCTAATCTCTGCATCTATGAGGACATGTGCATAAGGAATAAAACAGAGCAATTCCTTATACGGTGCCGCTACTTAATGCCCCTTCTGCTTAGAAGACATGGCTACTGCCGTCGCTGCTGAACGATCGTTCCCGGTTCTTGTTTCGAATGACGACCTCCGTGCCATGCTTCAGCACTGATATGACCGAGACAAGGAACGTATAGGTCTGTAGAGAAAGAATGGTCTGTCTCAGTTCAAATATCGAGCAGGTTAGAAAATGTACAGTAAGCAAGGGTGATGCCACGCTGAAGATTATGGAACCAGTGTTCAATAACTAGTCAATCTCGTCTACTTCGTGCTTACGACTCTGTCGTACGAAAAAATTCCTCATTACTTCTGACTTCCGCGAATTAACACCAAGGGGTTACGTTCTGCACGTATGCTTTACGCAGAAATTGCCAGAATGACGAATCCGACTTTCCGCACTGGTGACCAGAACCAGGTCAGCTGAACAACATACCTGGTCAACTACTTTCGCTTTTGCTCAAATAAGCATTATCCTCTACTCGGGCGCTTGTGATCTATGAACTGCTTTTGGAAACCTGAATTCAATTCATACAATATCTGATGTTGGTTTGTGTTTCGGCCGAAGCATGCAACTTTAAGTGGTTGTACGGAGCCACATAAAACGAAGGAGCAGTATCTTCTTTCGACGAGTCTCCGGTTATAGTTTATCTGCATTTATCAGTGAAAACTGGAAGAGTACCAAAAAACCATATC